TTTTATTTATTCTTTTGAAAAACTAACTTTTTTTTTAAGAGTAGGAAAAATTTATTGAGGGAAAGAAAGCTTCTGTCTAAGAGAGACAGAAGGACTGGAAAGTGGGTGAGACAGGTACAAAGTGGAACAAAACTATAAGACCCAATGGAAAATCACAAGGTGGGCATGAGGTAGGGCAAAACCATAAGATTACAACCAATAAGATTGCCAACCAATAAGATTACAAGTACACTCACCCACGTAATATTGATTAAATGGGGGTCAAATCGGGGAGCAAGTCTCTCAGTAAGCATACAAGGATTTTTCAGTCAGGGATAATTCCTGGAAAGGTTGTGTTAAGCCCTTGGCCCCCAACCCAGGTGATTGTTACCTATTTAGCATATGAATTACTGCTATTTATTCCTAGGGTTGGCACAAAGGTATAGTAGTTTCTCTGCTTTTACAATTCTGGCCTTCAGTGAATGTATCTTGATTGTCCTTCATGTTGGCTCCTTGCTGTGTTGGCTCCTTGAGGGCAGCCCTGTCTAACTGCCTACAAGATATCTAATTAACTTACCTATCAGCAATTTTCCCCCCTCTGAAGAAGTATCCCTAACTGCTGTGAGGGGACAAAAGGCGAAGACAGTTCTGGCTACTTCCAGCTGAAGAGGGTCTTAGTTGTGATCAGCAGTTAGTTACTCTACAGAGGGTCTATCTAAAGGCCTTCAGTAGGCATTTGGCATTGTCATCTTGGTAACTGCGTAGCTTTTAATTCTACAGGAGACAAAGTCAAAGAAACAGTTAAGAATGCATGGGCCAAATTATAAGGTTAGCATGTTGGATTCTGAAGTCCCCTGAAAAACCAACTCTTTGATTCATTGATTTTTTTTTTTAAGCATTCTTTTAGTCTTCATTGCATTGATTTCTGCTCTGATCTTTGTAATTTCTTCCCTTTTATGAGCTTTGGGATTCTCTTGCTCTTCTTTTTCTAGGAGCTTAAGAATCACCATTAGGTTGTCAATTTGAGCTCTTGTTTTCCTAGTGTAGGCATTCACTGCTATGAATTTCCCATGTAAAACTGCTCTCATTGTATCCCATAGATTCCTGTATGTTGTACTGGCATTGTCATTAAATTGTAAAAACTGTCTAATTTCTTCTTTAATTTCTGCTATGACCCATTGGTTGTTCAGGAGAGTGTTATTCAATTTCCAAGTGTTTGTGAAGTTCTTATGGTTTCTTAGGCTATTGATCTCCAGTTTAATTACACTATGATCTGATACTATACATGGATAACTTCAGTTCCTTTGCATTTACTTAAACATGTTCTATGAGCTAGCATGTGGTCTATTTTGGAAAATGACCCATTTGCAGCCAAAAAGAATGTATATTCTGATTTTGTGGGGTACAACATTCTGTAGATGTCTATGAAGTCCATTTGTTCAAAAGCTTGGTTCAGTTCCAGTATTTTGTTGTTTTTTGTCTGGATGATCTGTCTATTTATGGCAATGGGGTATTGAGGTTCCCCCCTTAAAACTATATTAGTGCTTCTTTGGTGTTTCATATCCCTTAATATTTGTTTTGTATAGTTGGGGGCATTAGTGCTTGGTGCATATGTATTTATGATTGTCATCTCTTCCTCTGCGATTGTTCCCTTTACAAGGATGTAGTGACCGTCTTTGTCTCTCTTAATTCGTTTTCATTTGAAATTCACTTTGTCTGCAAATAAGATAGCTGTCCCTGCTTTTTTCCGGGTTTCTGTCGCATGAAGAACTGCTTTCTATCCTTTTACTTTCAGTCAATGAGTTTCTTTTTCAAGTAGGTATGTTTCTTGTATATAGCATATTATTGGATTTTGCTTCTTAATCCATTCTGCCAGTCTATTTCTTTTGATTGGTGAATTGAGGCCACTGACATTAACAGTTATAACTGACACGTAGTGACTTATCACTGACATGTTATTTTCCTGTTGTTGGTTCTTTTTTATTTTTCTCCCTCTCCCTTTAAATTCTTGCCTATTGCATTTGCTGTGTTGGGCCTCATGGAGTTGTGACCTTCATTGTCTTTCTAGGCTACTTTTAAAAATTGTTTGGAGTGCTGATTTGGTAATCATGGAGTTTCTCATGTGTTTTTTGTCATGAAAATATCTTACATCTCCATCAATTTTGAAAGATAGTTTTGCAGGATACATCAACCTAGGTTGGAGGTTGTTTTCTCTTAAGGCTTGAAATACCTCACTCCAGGCTCTCCTTGACTTAAGGGTTTGTGTTGAAAAGTCTGTTATGCTTCTGATGAGCTTTCTTTTTCGTGTAATTTGTTTCTTTTCTCTGTTTGTAGTATTTTGTACTTCTGTTGGGTTTCTGGGATCTTGATTATTATATAAGTATAGATTTCATTTTATTATAACTAGTTGGGAGCCCTATATGCCTTCCTTATTTGTATGTCAAGCTCTTTTGCTGTTTGGGAAGTTTCCTATCAATTCTATGAACAGTCTTTTATGTCATTTGTGCTTTCTCCTGTTTTTTCACGGACTCCTATTAATCTTATATTATTCTTCTTTGCATCATCTAGGAGCTGTTGGATTAATTTCTCATGGTCCCTTACTATTTTTAAGAGTTCTCTTTTCATGGTCACTGACTGCCATCCTATCTTCTATATTTGATATTCTGTCTTCAAATTGGGTTAGTCTGCTATGTATACTTTTGACAGAGTTTTTAATCTCCTGGATATCACTTTGAATCTGTCACAATTTTCTCCACCTAGCTTTAAGGCTTATGGGTTTTTGAGGCATCCTTACCACACCAGAGGTCCCTCTGTCTGTTCCCCCTAGACTTTGGTTATCCAAACCAAGGCATGTCCTTTGTTCCTGTTGGCAGACAGGAAACACAATCTGCCCTCTGGTTTCTGCTGGATGTGGACCATGTGGTGGGGGTGCAGGTAGACTACTGGACTTAATGTTAATGGTCACTGGGTCCGGTTGTTTCCTCTGTCCCTAGGCACTGTCCTTGTCCAGGATAAAGTGAGTTGGTGGGAGACAGGGGACTGCTTTTCTGGAGTGGTACTGCTTGTTTGTGTTGGGGTAGGTTCACTACATATCCAGAGTGGGCCTGTGCCTATGAGTACAGAAGGCTTTCGTAAGACATCTAGATATAATCCATAACACCTGAAATCATGACTTGAGTGGATTCCCTCTGCCATGATGCTTCTGCCTTGGTGCCAATCCACCATAAACTGAAACCTCTGACTCTATGAGCTGACTCCTTTAAGTTTCAGGTGTCATACATTTTATCAAAATAGAAAGCTGACCAATACAAAGTATAACAAAGGGAGTACGGACAATTCTGGGCCACCAAGATGTCAGGGATGCTTTCTATAAGAGATGATGTGTGGGCTGTTATTAAAAGGAAGCACTGAAGTTCAGCAAGGAATGACACACTTTGTCAGAGGATGCAGCACCAAGGCCTTAAAGATGAAACTACATAACTTCTTTGAGGTAGTGCAAAAAATTCTACAAAAAGGTAGAAGAGCAGGAGAGATGAGGCTGGAAATATAAAGGTTAAGTAATAAGCATCCACTGTGGATGTGAAACAAGGGCCTGACATACTCAGAGTCACATCCTGGTCAGAAAATACAGTGGGCCCTTGAATTATGAACTTGATTGGTTCCTGAGGGCTGGTTGTAACTCAATTATCTGTTAGTCAGCTGAGATCTGTATGTTTACCTGGCACACTACAGATAACAAGAGGCAGACAAATCTTCCATTAACCTAATTAACCCCAGTTGTTCATATGTCAAGGCGGTCGTAATTTGAGGGTCCACTGTACAATGGCTGGAAGGTCTGAGAGGGGCAGAGAGGAAAACTAGAGTGATCTATAAGGGGACAGAAGAGGTAAAAGATAATGAAAATCTAATGTGAATAGGTATAAGATGCCATATCTTAGAAATGATAATAACTATAAGTCAAGACACCTAGATTCTAGATGAGTAAACTCCTTTCTTATCTTCCTTTCTTGTTTCCTCAAGGTCTGTTATGTATAAGCAGGTGCCATAGATGTGATATGGTCCTGTTCCTATATGTTAACAGCATTTAGTCTAATAGGAAAAGATAAGTGAAAATGTATTAGTTTTTGCTAGCCTAGCATGCCAATTGTTATTTAACTCACTAGCTTCTTGTAAGACGCCAGAAGCTAAAGACCACACATTCAGTGAGCTGTCAGTGCTTCTATGCTCAGGATGAACCCACACAAAGAAAAGCCAAACTGAGAAAAAGAAAAAAAAAAGTGATCAGGTGACAGTTTTTGAGAGGATGGATAGATTTAGCCATGTACTACCAGATTTCTAAGTGAAGCCACACTTTTTATTTTTGCCACAAAGAATTTGATTTGCATTGCTGTCACCTATAATGGGAAGAGTGCTAACAAATTCAAGGACAGAGACACAGAATCCTACAATTGCTATACAATGTGATAGTACAATAGAGTTATTGAGAAAATATAAGTAACACAGAGGAGAGTGCAAGTTAATTCAACTTGTAGGTAAGGTAGGTTGGGGAGATCTTTACAAAGGAGGCAACGCTTACCTGAACTCTTAGGAGAATTAGCCACCCAACAATAGGATAGGGAAGAAAGTTATTTTATGCATTAAGAAAAGCATGAGCAGAGACAAGGAAGCAGGAAAAACCATGCTATGTTTGGGAGAAATTAAAACAGTACACTGTGGGCCGGGGATTTAGCTCAGTGGTGCTGGCACCTGCCTTCAAGCATAAGGACCTGAGTTCGATCCCCAGTACCAAAAAATTAAAAAATAAAAATAAAACAGTGTACTGTGTTAAAGCACTAATAAGTTCACAGAGAAAGTAGACTGTGAAGGAATTTATACACTTGGTATGGACCAGCAGTCACTTGGTGATCAATTCAGACCATCTCACCTCTTCTTTAACCTCACTGAACCAGTAGATTTACAGGTAAAAGCAAGGAAATCAGAAGACATCGCTCCAAAATAACAAAAATATTAAAATGCCTTACCTGCTGATAGAATTCATCATTTTTGGGGGTCAGATAAGGAAGCCATGTATCTTCAAGTGCCTCAAGAAGCCTCAGTTTCTGTTTAAAGATAATAATAATATATGTGCTGGATATAAAAGGACCCAAAATGTAAGATAATATATCTTATTTTTCCAAAAACAGAACACAAAAATGCATGCTGAACTTGAATGTATAAACTTTTAACAATCGAAATTGGTCAAACACCAATTATAAAATGTATTAATTAAATTATACACATTTTAGATTGCACACTGTATAAAGCATTACTTTTATTCTCACTCCCATTTCATAAACCAGTACAACTCATTCTTCATATACATATTTGTTATCAGGGTCTTTTTCATTGCTGGGGTTACTTTTTGAGTCCTCCAATACAGTTTTCCAGAACAATCATCCTGTCTGTATAATCTGCTTCAGATACAGTACTTTTCATCCCTACCATGATGCTATCGTTGAAAATACCAAACTAAGCCACAAGTATCTATTTGTATAATCTCAGAATATTTAGAATATTTATTCATCCTGTAAACATTTTATCATGCCCACTTACAGTAACTCTTTTTTAAAGTGACCTTTCATCTCTATAAGAATTTCTAAGCCTGTGTTAGACCTGCCTATTTACTTCCTCTCTTTTTCAGTTTTATGAAGTATACTTGTTAAGCATCCATAGCCAGCAGAAAACTTCCTCAGACAGTGCTTTCCTGTTCAAACAAGTTAACTGAGAAAGCCACATATTATAAGGCAGCTTATAAGGAATCAAATATATATAAAGTCACTCTCTTCTTCTGAGGGATTTTTTTTAAATGATACCTGATCTCATACTCAAGTATATATATGGAGTCTCTGTGTATGTGCATGGTATATATGTCTGTATATTGAGGTAAATGTGGTTAGACATATACACACTAATTACTTGTAACCAAAACAAAATGGCAGAAACAGCTAGTTTTCAAATAAAACTAGCCAAATAGTACATTATCAAGGTTATTCTTAGCCAGTAAGGTATTATTCTAAGAATTACAAAGCTGCATACCATGCTCTGGGCCAGTGCAGCCCCACCTGATGGAGTACAGCTTGGTAAACACTAATTGCCATCTCAGCCTCCCTCACGCCTGTAGCCACTGTCTTTATGCAATACACAATCTCTCAACCAAGACCAGAGCCCTGTCCTCTTTCACCACAAATGCACCATAATCACCAGAACAAACCATTTTGGTTCTGTAAAATTCAAATTCTTTCTGTTAAACTCTGAACACTTTTCCCTTACTAAGGACTTCTAAAATGAACATAGCACAAACCATAGTCCGGATAATTGGTTAATTTGTTTATCTGCTTTCAGTATTAACCCTTTTGGGTAGCATAAAAAGAATTAAGGATATTTCCACGCATACACTGGACTTGCACATTTATGCATGCCACTGCTAAGTTAATCATAAGCTTATACTTTTTATCTTTAGTAAATTTTTTGATACATATTAGGTATATAATACAGTTACATTCATCACTGGGATCTTGTACCTATACATGATTTATCAGGTTCTTATTTTTCCCCATTCCCCAGCCCTCCCCTCAGCCCCTCCACTCTTCCCTGTTTACAAAGACTTGTTTCCATGGTTTTCCTTTTCGCACTGCGGGGGAGGGGTAACTGGGGATTGAACCCAGGTCCTTGCTCTTGCAAGGCAGGCCACTGAACCACTGAGCTAAATCCCCAGCCCTCCTTTTCACATTTTTTTTCTTTTCCCTTTTTATCTTTCCCCTACCCCTACCACTTCCTCTACTCTTTTAGACTTTTCTCCCTGTTACACAATATCTATTATACATTTTAATCCTTATTTACACTTCTACTTTTTCATATCAGAGAAACTATTCGGTATTTACACATTTGTGACTTATTAATTTCACTTAAGAGTATAGGCTCAATGTGCATCCACTTAGCTATAAATCTCTCTAGTTTCTTGTTCTTTATGGCTGAGTAATATTCAGCTTTTACTTCGAGCTCAGAAAAGCCTGTATTTTCTTATGTACCTTTTGCCAGTTCTTAGAAACTTTTATAAATACTAAGTGCTAGAATATTTATAAATGTCACCCAAAAATGTAAGCCTTGAATAATTCAAAGACTATAAATACCATCTTAAAATCTCTTCATAAGAATCCATCAATAAAGCTACTTTATGTATAAGGAGGAGCACAGAGGTATAGACTCCCAAAAGAAATTACTTTCTCCATCTAAATCAGATCGAACACCAAAAGATCTGTCCCATAAATCAACAAGTGTCGATGGAGGCTAAAATTTTATAATTAATGTTTTATCTAAACTATTGTGAAATCAACCACTTCTCAGTTCAAATGAGGTTCAGAGAATCAGAGAAGTATAAGACATTGTAACTTAGAAAGATGTATCAAAAGAAAAAAATTCTACAAAAGTATTCCCACCATAGAGCAAGGGGAATATAAATGGCTTTCCTCCACTAGGAATTATCATGCTGTGATCATCCTTATATCTACATGACAAGGGAGAATGGGGATCAGTAAATCACTCAATTTAAGGCCACACAGATAAAACCTTCTCTGTATTGTTATTCACTACGTGCAATTTCACCATTTAACTGACAAGATCAATTACAAATAACAATATTGACAAACTTAAAAAGAAGTCTGGATCATATACACAAGGTGAAATCAATCAGAAACCAATGTCAACTCACATTGGTAATTCATGAACATCAAAATTTAAAATTGGGATTGCTTTATAAAATTAAATATGGCTTTTTAAAAAAAGCAAGTCACTGTAAGATTAAATGAAATGAGTCCTCTCACAATTTGCTATGGAAAGTATAAAACAGTATAAGCACCCAGGAAAGCAACTCACAATTCCTTTCAAAATTCAAAAGCTTTTACTTTTTGACCCAGAATCATGCTTCTGAGGATTTATCCTACAGATATACTTGTAGCATGGTTCAGATGAATGTACAAGGTTAAGCATTACATCATTTGTAGAATAAAGCTTGGAAATAAAAAAGAACACTAAGTTGAACACTTTAAAAGGGTGAATTTTGTGGTATGTGCATCATCTCAATAAAGCGCAAAGGTTAAAAAGAATGAACTATTCATCCACAGAGAATAGTGAAATAAATGAAGGTTCATTCGCATTACGAAATACAATGCAACAGTAAACAAGAATGAAACAAAAATCTCCCTGTTCATAAAATAAAAATCTCTCCCGGAGTTACTGGGAAGTTAAAAAAAAAAAATCTGCTTGTATTCACATAAAAAAATTGGATATGTGACAAACTATTAAAGCGCAGCTGTTAAAATTAGAGGCAGGAAATGATTAGAAGGGGGGATCGGAGAGCAACCACTTCAAAATACTCTATTTTTTAAATTTTCAAACAATGTAAACATATTAACTATTCAACATTTTATCTATTACAAATATATTACCTATTAATTCTTTACATAGAATACAAAAATGAAAAGGTTATGATTTTTTTTTGCTCTATTTTAAAAAGTACATACTTTCATCCATGTACAATAAAGTACTTATTCGGGAAACCATCACAGACTAACATACTAAAGACTGAAGAGAGAAGAAAGCAGTTCTGACAAGTCCTTTGAGTCAAATGCCAACCAACAAATAAACACGCACAGCATTAAAATGTACTCTGTGCTGAAGGTGGAAGGGCTCACACTTGATTGTCAGATCTTGCTAACCGCTGCTCCTCAGCCTGATGTACAGATAAATCCACACAGCTGGGCCCTGCAGCACACTGCTCTGCCCACATGCTTCTTTTCTGCCACACTCGTGTCAAATGCATCAAGCTGCTCACAAATGCCACGCAGAAAGTCAAAGCGAATTCAAAGCCTCAGCTTTCCCACCTGGCAGGAGGGGGATATGGAGACCTTTCCATGTGGACCACTGCCCACTCATTTCCAGAGCTCTAACCAGTAAACAGGACATGAGAGATTACATAAAATACAGTGCGACTCAAAACCATAAAGGTTTGACATCAGATGACAAACACTTCAGGCCTAACCCTCTGAGAAATTTCAATGAGAAAAAGTGGAAGTATATCTGAGCTTGTATATCTTGCCAAACAAGATACGGTTTGAGAGTCTTACAGTAATTATTTTGAAAGTTTAACTGGATTACGACTCATAATCAGGGTGTAGCTCACGTATACATGAAGTGTAATCTTGTTCCACTCTTGAGTCTTGAACCTTTTTACACAATGCTGCTAACAATTCTTATTCTTTCTCCATTTTTCATTCTCCACATAAGCTTTTAAATGCATCATATTCTGTCAAGTTCAATAAAAATCTAATTTTGTTATCTGAGTCTTTTCAAAATATAATCACAAATAAAGGCAAGTGAATGTTCACTGTGAACATAAAAATGTGATCTTGTGAAAGTTTCAAGCATCTGGTGAGACTGACCTAGTCCTTAAGTGGGGCATAAGTGGATAAGGAAGACACCTCCAAATTAACACTAGAAAGATCAGTAAGAAGTAGCTGAGCCTAAATAAGTATAGGTGAATATTTTATACATAATATAATGAATATTTACTTCAAATAAAAAATCTTTCAAGTATCTCAACCATTTCAATAAGCTTAGCATTTCCTGTCCTACTCTCCATAAAAGTATAGCATAATCAAACAGGATGTGAAGGTAAGAGTGAACTGTTGAGTACAGACTCTATTACTCCTAAGTGTGGTGCCATACCTGAAACAATGTCTCTCAATGTCAGTTTCCAAATTTGTAAAAAAAAAAAAAAAAAAGTTTCATATGATTTTTGTGAAGAGATAGAATTTATCATATATATGGATGTACTTTGAAAAATATGGACTATGCAGGTATTAAGCAAATGGCATTCAAAGTGGAGGGTTCTGTATAACAAAGCAAACACCAAAGAGTCAAACTCAAAGAGTTCCAAAGACAGTTCTGCCAGTTTAGTTACAAAACTGGCATTAGTTTCTTAGTTCTCTATGAAATGCAAAGGAAGCAACACATAAAGATCTAAAAGGAGAAGGGGAAGTGGGAAGAGTAGAGGAAAGGAAAG